GCCTGCCCTATGAGCAGTTTAACCCACCTCTTCCTGGTGAACACTTGGGTTATTCTCTGTTTATAATGATGCCTCAACGATCTTTGTATACTTAAGACTGAAGGATAAGTTTCTAGAGAGACTTGGTCAAAGGTATACACACACATACACATACACACACACACACACATATGTGTATACATATATTTAACTTCTGTCATCTCTGCTTCCAAAATACATCTCAAAATGCATCTCCCATCCCTACCTCTGCTGCCACTTTCATCTTGTACCTGCTACTGCAGCTGCAACTGTTTACCCCTATTTCCACTCTGGCCCTAACTCTCAAAATCCACTTGGTATCCAAGCACTATAGTGACCTTTAAAAACAGAGATCAGATAATGTTCTCCTTCTGCTTAGCACCCTTCATTGGCTTTTCATTGTACATAAAACAAAATCCAGACTCTGCCCTGAGGCCTACAAAGCCCTGTCGTGGGTGACCCCTTCCTGTTCCCTGCCCTCCCTTCATTTGGTACATGCTGCCCTCTAGCTCTTGCGGCCTGCTGGCCTTGGCCTCTGCTGCTGCCCCAGCCTGACACTCTGTGCCCCAGGTACTCACTGGTGGCTCTTTGTCACCCAGCCTTCCCTGGCCAGCTTTCCTCAGGAGCTCTCTCTGCCCACCCACTCTGTCCCATCATCCAGGCAGGCCCTTTCCTTCACAGCCCTGGCCATATCTGAAATATACACTCCTCCCTCCCTTCTTTCCTTCCTTCCTTCCATGCAGTGCTTGCTTGAGGCTTTGCCATCTCATTCCCCACCATTACTTCGGCCTGTAGCGCAGCACCCTCAGCTTGCCTGCCTGTGCGTGAGAACATTAACAATGGTAGTTGCCACATCATCCTCCCCTTTGACTGGACCATGACGGGATGCAAGAGAGTCTGTTTTATACTTGGGTAAAATCTAGAAGGAGCAGGGAGCGGTGGCTGCGGGCACAAGTTAGGACTCTGCCATTTAATCACTGTAGTAAGTTGGACCAGCTTAAAGGCTCTCGGCCTCAGTTCTTCAATTTTGGGGGACTCCAAAAATTCAGTCACTTAAAATGTGGGGTTGCAACACTGTGAAGATAATGAAGAGGCTGGAGGGAGCCTGCCCGGCTGACCACGGGTTTGAGTCCAAAGCCTTCTTGGAGCTGGCTGCGGTTGGTGGCTCCACTCTGCCATAGACATCATGGGGATGGCTATGGGCCCTGGACTGACTGGGATTTCCCAGGCAGTGACAACAGTCTCCCAACTAGGAAGGTCCCAGGTAGCTGGGACTCATTTTATTGTTTTGTTCCACAATGACTGGGCAAGAATATTGGGGCTCCAGAGATGGGTTTGCCCCATGTTCTCTCACCTGATCTTGCGTCCACTCTTGCAGAACATAGAACTAAAGCTGGCCCCATTTGGGATTGGGGTTTGGGCTGAGACCAGGAGTCAGTTGTCTGTCCCGTTTTAATAGGAGTTCATATTATCACAGGCTTTTATTCTACCTACCTATCCTGCAGGGTACTGTGAGGATCAAATGAGAGAAGGAGTTGAAAATGTGTTGTAAAGTACAGAGCATTACTCCACTGTAAAGGATACTAGTTTTACCATCACTGAAAGTGCTATTAAACAGCAGCCCACCCAGAAACTCACGTTTTCCTGTGGAGGAGCAAGAACTCCATTGACCTCCAACACCCCTCACAGTCAGACTTTGAAGACATGAGCCATGACCTCGGTCTGGCTTCCATGGAAGTTGCATGGACCACTTCAATATGCTCAACTAGTAGACCTTGTTTTTATCTTTTTAGATGCCATTGCTGAATACATGCTCACTTTAATACAGGGTTTCTCACCTTACTGCTCTTGACATTTGACCAGATAATTTTTTGTTCTGGGGGACTCTCCTGTACATTCTAGGATGTTTAGTAGTATCTCTGGCCTCTACCTACTTGATGCCACTAACACTCCCTGTCCCCAGTTGTGACCAAAAACATGTCCAGTCATTATCAAATATTTTCTGAGGGGCAAAAAGCATCCCTAGTTCAGACCACTACTCTAATAAAACAATTCTTTGAGGCAGAGCTACATTTTTCTGGTTGTCAAAACCCAGATCAGAGGAATTAAGTAACTCGCTAAAGGTCACATGACTAATACTACCTCCAGGGCATATGGATGCTCTCCGCCCCTTATTGCAGCCACTAGCCAGTCACTGACATAAAACAGTCATTTAGAAAATATTTGTCAAGCACCTACTATATGCCAGGCAATGTTCTATTTGCTCAATAAGTATCACTGATACTTGGTATTTGGCAGGGTGGGAGGGAAGAGTGTAAAAGATAGTTCTAGTAGTTTCCTATTGCTGTTGTAACAACTTACCACAATCTTACTGGTGTATTACAGTTCTGGAGGTCAGAAATCCAAATTCAGTTTCGCTGATCTAAAAATCAAGATGTCAGCAGACCTACGTTCCTTCTGGAAGCTCTGGAGGAGAAGCCCTTTTCTCCTCTTTCAAAGCCAGCAGTGTAACACCTTTTCTCCTCCCTGACCTCCATTTCCATCCTTATATATTCTCTTTCTGACTCTAATCTTCCTGCCTCCCTTTTACAAAGACCGTTGTGATTACATTAGGACCATATGGGTAATCCAGGATAATCTCTCCCATCTCAAGATCCTTAATTTAATTACATCTGCAAAGTCCCTTGTAAGGTGGTGTTCACAGGTCCCAGGGATTAGAATGTGAACATCTTTGAGGGCCATTTATTCAGCCTACAACAGTCTGCCCTCTGGCCCCCAAAGATCTATTTCCATCCCACATACAAAATACACTCTTCCCATTCCAAGTTTCCCAGAAGCCTCAACCCATTACAGTTCAACTCAAGTCCAAAATATTTTCTAAGTCTCATCTGCTCAGAGTTCCCAAGTGTCATCATCTTAATCATCTAAATTAGGTATGGGTGAGACTTTGGACAAAATTCTCACCATGTGTGTACTTGTGAAACTAGAAAACCAGTTACCTGTTTCTCAATACAGTAGTGGGTAGATACAGAATAGCAGTTACAGAAACTCCCATTACAATAGGGGGAAAAATGAAAGGAAAAAAGATGACACCAAACCCAAGCAATTTTGTAATCCATTGGGCCAACTCCATTAGGTTGCAAGGCCCAAAAACAGTTCTCTGTGGCTCAGGGCTCCACTCTTGGAATCATCCTTTTTCTTTAATGAAGAGTACTTATTTCATCAACCTGTTTCCTGCTTGTAGAATTTTGGGAGTCTGACAGCCTTCTTTTATTTTGTCCTATCTCTCTCCCATTCAGTTCAAGTTGGCAGTGTTTCTGCTGGTATGACATTCTCAAAAACCACGTGGGTCTCCTATGTATGTCTCTAGAATTCGTTCCATTAGACAAGAGGTCCCCTCACAAATCTTTCATAGGTAATCCCTTCTCTGTTCCTGGCTTCTGCTGAGATGTCAAAGGGGATTCATGAGTCACATGTCTGATCTCTTCCAAGAGCCCTCAGTGTGATTGAATGCTCTAAACCCTGGATCCTCTGCAATGCTAGCAAAAGATTGTTCAGTCACACCCTTGGTTTTCTCTCTAGAGCATGCTTTTCTGACAGGGAATCTTCTCATTTTAATGTCTTTTTGCAACCTGGATAGACTGAGAGTTTCCCAAATCATCAAATCCCAGTTCCTTTTTACTGAACAGTTTTTCCCTCAGTCTATCCCTTTCCTCTAACATTTTATTCTAAGAAGCAAGAAGAAACCAGACTGTGTCTTCAACACTTTGCTTAGAAATCTCTTCAGCTAAATATCCAAGTCCATCATTTACAAAATTTCATTTACCACATAACTGTAGGACATAATTCAGCTAAGATTTTGCCACTATGTAACAGGATTCCCTCTCCCCTAGTTGCCAATGACATCTTCCTTATTTACTCACCAGCAGCACCTTTGATACCCATATTTGTCATCAGTCTGTTTAGGATTATTTCTCTAAGATTATCAAAATTTTCTATATAGTGCTTCTTATTTCTTCATGAGCCCTCACTGAATCATAGGGCCCAGGGGTTAGGACTTGGAAATCTTTGGGGAATCATTTTTCAGCCTACCATAACAACTATGAAGTTCATTGGTCAACCATCAAACCTGTGTTGATTTCTTCTTTTCTCATAACTAGGTTAGATACTATGAGGACTACAGGTAGAGTATAGCTAGGCTGACCAAACATACTGCATTACCCAAATAGTCCATTTTATATTTTTTGTTCCAGTGTAAGTGTAGCAGTGGTCTTTTCCAAAAGTATCCTGGCTTTGGTGACAAATTTTCTGGTCACTTTTATCTTAATTCTTGACCTTAAGATTGTAAATATATAATCTATGGACAGGAAACACATGAAAAAAAATTGTCAGGAAGTTACAATTAAGTGCTAAATAATCTGACATTGAAGTGCTTCTAAACATCCTTCAGTACACAAAACAGCCCCCCACAATTATCTGCCAGACATTTACCACCTGGAATTTCAGGATCATTTGGAGGCCTCTGGGATTTCTTATTCAAAGTATGGTCCCTGGACCAACAGCATTATCATCACGTCGTTAGAAATGCAAATTCTTGAGCCCTGTCCAGAACCCACTGAATTAGAAACTGTGGGTGGAAACCCAGCAATCTGTTTTAATGAGCCCCCAAACCAAAACATCTCTCACACACACACATGAACACACATGTACACATGCATGCATACTTACACACATTCTTAGTAGCATCTCAGGCATGTGAACAGCACAATTAATACTATAAAACACTGTTCTGTTCAGAGAATTGCTCATTTGCCCCTGCCCTTTGTTTTCTCATCTTCAAAATGACGACAACACATGGGTTGAGATGATTTTGGTAAATGTTAGTTTGGTAGAAATAGTTCTATGATACTAAAAATCTATTTCAAGTGAATTTTTAATCAAAGTAACATATTTCATTTTTCACTTTTCTTGACTTTCGGCAGGAGCTAAGAAAAAGCCTGGAACTTAGTGTAAATCTACAAAGGAAACAAACGGATTGTTCCAGTGATGAGTATGACTCTATTGAAGAAGATGTACTCTCTGAGTCCGAGCCTGAGGACCAGGCACTGGTGGGCTATCCCGGACATGAACCCCCTCTTTTCAGTGGGGACTCAGTGCAGAAGGATGTTCCTGAGGACCAGGAGACACAAGGACACCCTCCACAGTGCCCAGACACCCTTGTGGTGTTGGAATTTAACCCAGCTTCCAAAAGTAAGCTCTCCCTTATGTGGCATTTCTTTGCCTTTGGTGTCTCTGGATCTAATAGTAGGCCTTCAATTTTCTGCCATACTTTGAATTCAGCTTTGGGTAGACCATCTTACAGGCCAGGGGGATGTATCAGTTAGCTCTCTTCTGATTGCAAGAGGCAAAGGCCTCCAAATGACCCTGAAATTCCAGATGGTCCATGTCTGGCAGTTACAGGGGCTGTTTTGTGCATTGTGGGATGTTTAGGAGCATCTACATGCCAACTGGCCTAAGCAAAAGTGACTGCGTATTGGCTTGGATAACTGAAGACTCCAGAGATTAGCAGGACTCACTTCTCTTCTCTCGCCTCCTCTTCCTTTCCCTTCCCCTTTCTACTGTCTTCCCTGTCCCCCTCCTTTCTCCTCCCCTCCCCTCTGCCTTTCCCTTCTCTGTACATTTCCTTCTCTTTTCCTTCCCTTCCTCCCTCTTATCTCTGCCACTTTTTTCCTGTCTGATACCATTCTTAGGTAGGTGCTCCTCATAGGGACGTATAATTGAGACATTGATTTTGCAGCTCCATCAGAAAGTGGATTTTTCTTCCTTAAAACTCTAGCAAAATTCTCAGCCCTGGTTTTGTGTGTGTGTGTGTTTTTAAAGATTTTATTTATTTATTTTTAGAGAGAGGTGAAGGGAGGGAGTGAGAGAGAGAGGGGGGAAGAAACATTGATTGTTTATGTTGGAGACCAAACCTGCAACCCAGGCACGTGCCCTGACCAGGAATCGAACTGGTGACCCTTCACTTTGTGGGACAATAACCAACCAACTGAGCCATGCCAGTCAGGGCTCAGCCCTACCTTTTATCTTTATATTTATTTTTTAAAGATTATATCATTGAACCCTGGCGGGTGTAACTCAGTGGATTGAGTGCCGGCCTGCGAACCAAAGGGTCGCCACTTCAATTCCCAGTCAGGGCACATGCCTGGGTTGTGGATCAGGTCCCCGGTTGGGAGTGTGTGAAAAGCAACCACTCGATGTAGCTCTCACACATCCATGTTTCTTTCCCCCTCTTTCTCCCTCCCTTCCCATCTCTCTAAAAATAAATAAATTAAATAAATAAATAAATAAATAAATAAAACATTAAAAAATAAATTATATTTTATTGATTATAGTTCTGATTCCCCCCCCCCGCTTTACTCCCCTCCACCCAGTACCCCCCCCCCCCACTCCCTCGGGCAATCCCACCATCATTTTTCATGTTCACAGGTCATAAGTTCTTGGGCTACTCTATTTCCTACACTGCACTTTACATCCCCATGGCTGTTCTGTAACTGCCTATTTATACTTCTTAATCCCCTCATCTCTTTATCCATTCCCCTATACCTCCCTCCCACCTGGCAACCATCAAAAACACTCTACATATCCATGATTCGGTCTCTGTTTTTCTTGCTTCTTTAGTTTGTTTTTTAGATTCAATTGTTGATAGATTTGTATTTTTTGCCATTTTATTGTTCATTGTTTTGATCTTCTTTTTCTTAAATAAGTCCTTTGAACATTTCATGAAATAATGGTTTGGTGATGATGAACTCCTTTAGTTTTTTCTTATCTGGGAAGCTCTTCATTTGCCCTTCAATTCTAAATGATAGCTTTTCTGGGTAGAGCAGTCTTGGCTGGAGGTCCCTGCTCTTCATGAATGAATATTTCGTGCCAATCCCTTGGAGCCTGCAAAGTTTCTTTTGAGAAACCAGTTGACAGTCTTATGGGAACTCCCCTGTAGTGAACTAAATCTATTCTCTTGCTGCTTTTAAGATTCTTTCTTTATCTTTAACCTGTGGCATTTAAATTATGATGTGTCTTGATGTGGGCCTCTTTGCATCCATCTTGTTTGAGACTCTCCATGCTTCCTGGACTTGCATGTCTATTTCTTTCACCAAATTAGGGAATTTTCCTTTCATCATTTTTTTCAAAAAGATTTCCAATATCTTGCTCTTTCTCTTCTCCTTCTGGTACCTCTATGATGCGAATGTTGGAATGCTTCAAGTCCCTGATGCTACTTATACTATCCTCATTTTTTTGGATTCTTTTTTTCTTCTTGTTGTTCTGATTGGTTGTTTTTTGCTTCCCTGTGTTCCAAATCATTGATTTTATTCTTGGCTTCATCCATTCTACTGCTGTTTCCCTGTAAACTGTTCTTTATTTCAATTTATCCTTCATTCCTGACTGGATCTTTTTTATGCGGCTGAGGTCCTCACTAAGTTTCTTGAGCATCCTTATAACCAGTGCTTTGAACTCTGCCTCTGATAGATTGCCTTTTAAACACACATTGGGTCATATCTCTGAACTAGTAGTCACTGTGGCTCTGGTTCGCCAGGTCCAGATGTGGTTTTCACTACCCAAACCACATGTACTGATAATGGTTTCCAAAGAAAATCAAGGCATATCTGAGAAGGCAGAAATCATGCTTGCAGGCACAAACCACAGCTGTCCACCAGAGGAAGTTTTTCAGAAAAGACCCTGGAAAAAATAACATCGTTGGGGTATGGGGATGGGCCCGCCTGCAGCAGTCCTCCTGCTCCCGTCCGCGCTGGCTTGGCCTCTGCTTGCTCTCTCTGCTGGCTGTGCCCTGTTTATGGAATCAGCTATCAAGACTGGCCAGTTGGGCAGCATGGGTGGACCTAAGGAAAGAGAAATGAGGGAATGGTTAAAATCAGGCACTGAGTATATCAGGCTACTTGAGATGCCATAACAAAGTACTGCAGATGAGGGGTGACTTAAACAGCAACAGAAATGTATTTTCTCACAGTTCTGGAGGCTAGAAGTTCAGGACAGGGTGTTGGCCGGGTTGGTTTCTCATGAGGCATCTCTCCTCAGCTTGTACATGTCAGTCTTCTTTCTGTGTCTTCCTTCATATGATTTTCCCTCTATGAGTGTCTTAATTTCCTCTTCTTATAAGAATACCAGTCAAACTGGATCAGTGCCTACCATAACTGACTCGTTTTACCTTAACTACTTCTTTAGAGGCCCTATCTCCACAGTCAAATTCTGAGGTACCGGGGGTTACAACTTGAATTACGAGTTTTGGGGAGACATAATAACAGGCAGCCATACCCAGTGGCGGATGTCAGCAGAGAAGAGGATTGTCCCTCGGATGTGGTTGTCTCTCACATCCAAATCCTTGCTGAGGCCATTCCTTCCTCCTGAATCACCACGTTTCCTCTCCTTCCACTCTGAACTCTGAAACCTGGTTCCCTGCTTTCCCCCGCAAGACAGCACAGGGGCTGCTTCCTTTGAGAAGCCTTCTTTGCGCTTCCAGCACAGCCTCCTCTTGGTGCCCCCTCTGCTTCATAGCATCCTCATGGCGCTGGTCTCACTGACCCCAGTCATCTTTCTCCCTCTCTGGCCTGTGAGCTTGGCCAGGACACAGGCCAGCTCCAACCCCCCATTGCAGCCCCAGCGTGCAGCATGCACCTTGCACATTTGAGCCGCTCGGGACATCTTTGTCAAATGAATGACGGAGCTGTGCTCACCTGCTGAAGCGTCTGGTAGTCAAGGCAATGTTAATATGCGCCCATGTGACACCTGCTGGGTGTACATTGCTATGGATTGTGTTTTCTTCAAGAGGTGGGGAGGGCAGGAAGGGCTGTCAGGAGGTTGACCAAGCCCCTACCCTGGATATGGGGGGGCATGAAAGTCACTGGCTGGTGTGAAGGACCAGGTCACAGAAGGAGAACAGTTGGGCCCAAGGCAGTTTGAGAATGATACTGGGGCATAGAACAAAAAGAGAGAGCTTTACTGTCTTGACATTTTACATTTTTAACAACTAGATTGCTTGTTAGGCCCCGCATTGAGCACGGCGATGTCTGATCTGTGAGTGCACAGAGAGGTGGATGCTGCCTCCTACTGCCACCCCTCACTGCTCCCTTTCATCAGTGGCCTCTTCTCTAGCCCCCTCTGGCTGGCTTCTTTTGTCCCAGCAGGAGACAGATGCCCCCTGACAGCAGCCAGAGGGAGGCCCAGCGGCCTGTTTTCAGGTCTTCCTGGACCTCAGCATGGGATCAGGAGTTCTGAACTAATCCTGAGCGTTTACTTAAGACCAGTCAGCAGGAGCCTGGAAAGATGTGCTTGGTTCTGGGCTGTTCATTCATTCATTTCTTCATCCACTCACTCGCTCATTCATTTATTCATACTGGGCACACGTCATGTCCCAGGCAGTGTGCTGGGACAGCCGGGCCCAGTCCCTTTTCCTCCTACAGCTCTTCATCCTAGAAGGGGAAACAGACAATAAGTATATAAACATGTAAATAATAACAGCAGTATTTTTTGAGTTCTTATTAACATGTACCAAGCCGTATTTCAAGGGCTATATATGTAGTCCTTCATTTAATTCTCACCACAACCCCAAGGAAAGCACGTGTTCTACCGATAGGGAAATTGAAGCACAGAGAGGTCAATTAACTTGCCCGAGGTCACAGCGAGGAAGGGGCAGAGTGGGATCCGGTCTCCAGCAGTCTGAGTGCTAAGCCCAAGCTCTTAATCACAGGACTAAATAAATAAACAAGGTAGTTCCAAAGTGGTAATTGGGCTTGGAGGAGCCAATAAGTGCCCTACTCACTCTGGTTTTCCTTCTAGGTTGTGAGACAAAGGAGAGATAGTCATGGGACTCTGATAGGAGGACAAGTTATTACCTTTCCAACTGATAGAGCTGGGTCGGTGGCTAGTCAGGACTGTCCCTGAAGTAGACAGACCCCTACCCCAGGAGTTGGCAGAGCTGGACTGCTGACAGCATCAGCGTGGCGGACGGGGGCTGTGTGTCCTGAGAAGGGGGGGGTGGTTGGAGGAGGGTGGGGGCATGGCTGGCTTGAGCCCTGATGGCTTCCTGCCCCTTCTCTCCCATCCCATGTGTCCTTGGTGAGTGACAGGCAGTGGGTGAGCAGCGCAGAGAAGGGCAGAAGTTATTTTTCCAATAACTGGAAACAGAGCGCTGGGTTAGCTTAGGAACTCAGAACCTTGAAGTTGTGAAGATTGTAACACAGGACACTTGTTGGGAGATGGAGGTCAGGGCAGGACACCGGTAGGTGCAATGGTCAGAGAAGCCTTCTCAGGGGACGTGATGTTTCGGCTGGGACAGGAATGAGGAGGAGGAAGCAGCTACGGGAACAGCATCCCAGGTGCAGGGAACAGCAAGCACAAAGGGTTTAAAGAGGGATGAACTTAGTGTAGCCAAGGACAGAAAAAGGGCCAGGGGAGTGTGGTGCAAGATGAGGCCAGTAGTGATCCGAGGCCACTTTCTAAGAGTCTGGGCCCTTCGGAGCCCTGGGAGGTATCCTTTATAGGCTTCCGATGGCTAAGGCAGACCTCCTGGCCCAGTGTCTGCAGGACTGTCTTATGGAGAGGAGGCGGGCGGCAGGTAGGGAGGGCTCCGAGCCCTGCAGCCCTGGTCGGGTGCTGATTCTGTCACTCCCATCTCTGTGACCTTGAACAAGTGACTCGACCTCAGAGCCCTGCTCTGTAATAGTATGGATTAGTTTTCTATTGCTGCTGTAGTTAATTATCACAAACTTGGTGGCTTAAAATAGCACATATTTACTGTCTCACGGCCCTGCAGGTCAGGCGTCTGCTGCGGGCCTCCTGGGCCAACAGTGCCAGCGGGGCTGCTCCCTCAGGAGGCGCTCGGCAAGCGTCTGTTTCCCTGGCCTTTCGCTGCCTCCACAGGCCGCCGCTCTCCTTGGCTCAAGGCCCCCTCCTGCATCTTCAAAGCCAGAAATGTCACATCTCTCTGTGCCTTTCTTCCATAGTCACACTTGCCTCTGCGCCGCCTCTTCTGCCACCCTCTTGTGTGTGTGTGCACGCGTGTGTTACTGTGGTAAAATATACATAACATAGAATCTACCACTTTCACCATTCTTAAGAGCACAGTTTTGCTGTTGTTAAGTGTACTCACATTGTGTGCAAGTACCACCACTATCTTAAGAAGTTTTTCTTCATCCCAAACTGAAACTCTGTTCCCCTTCCACTTTTAAGGACCCTTGCTGTTTACGTTGGGTCCACTGGGATAATTCAAGATAATCTTATTTTAACACTAGCTCATTAGCATGGTTAATTCCCCTTTGCCAGGGATTAGGACGCGGCCATCTTTGGGGGGCACCATTCTGTCCACCATCTATCTTCTGTGACAGCTGGGGGAGCATATGAGACAGCGTGCGCTCTTGCCGTCATCAGTATATTTTCAGCACTGAGGGAGCCAATCTTGCGGTCATTTTCCTCTCTCCATTTTTTGTCTTGTCCCATTGCACACAGTGGGTCCTCTGTCACATACTGGTCTGTGTTGGGCCGTGGGCGTCAGACCAACAAGGAGCAGCTACTTCAGAAAGTGTAGAGAAACTTGGGTCTTTCTAAAGTCAAGAGGGGATAGGGGAGAGGTTAGTGGAAATCTGGAAAACCCCGCACTAGTCCCCGACATCTACCCAGAGCTCCCAAGAATCTCATGGGTCCCTTGATTGTGGAACTCCCTCTCTTTGGGCCACCACAAGCCCCCAGGATTTCCTCTGCTGGGGACTCTCGTTACATTGCACTTTAGCGGGCGCTTTCCAGGTTTCCTACCTTCCCAGGCCAGGAGGCCCCACGTACAGGACCCAACTCTTCTCCCCGCTTGTTTGCTTTGTTCTGGCTGGCCACTCGCCTGCCTGCGCGCAGGGCTGCTTTCCTGCCTGGTGGTCCCGAGCGTGTCCTCCTTCTCCAGCTCTCAAGTCTTTGCTGGCTGCTAGGCCCAGGAACCGTTTACCCTAAACTTGAGCCATTTGTAAACCTCCTTCACAACTTTTTGACATCTCCACAAACTGCCTGCAGTAATTTTTAGCTGTTATTTAAACCAGCCCCTTTCTTTTCTCGTTCCCTTCCCTCTCCTTTCACCTCCCTCCCCTCCTCTCTCCCTCCCTCCCTTTCTTCTTCATAATTCTAGGACTGTTCCAAGCAATAACACTCATGGAATCGAGGGTTGATAAGCTGGTTACATTTTTTCCCCCATGCACATTCAGATGTACAATTGCTTAAAAATTCATCGGCCCACATGACATTTGGAACCATCATCTCCCGTTCCACCAGTGGCCCAGGTGCTCCACTTCGGGCAACATTGACTCTAAAGCATGGCCTGTAGGCCCTTCGCTGTCTGGTGCCACTCCCCCGCCTGGGCCCCAGCTGCTCACCTGCCACATACCTTCCCGCTGTCAGACCTTTGCACGTGCTGCTCCTGCCCCCAGCTCTGTGCCCCTGGTGACACCCTAGTCATCCGTAAGGGCTCTCTCCATCATCTGCTGCTCGCCTGTCAGCCCCGTGTTCCACGCTGCATGCTCCTCCGTGACCCGGTACCAGGACCCTTCTGTCCCGGTCCTGCTCTCTGAGCCATTCAGCTGTCCTTTCCTCACAGTCTGTAAATGTGCTTTACTGTATTCTTTCAATTCCAGTGTCCTTGGTTCCACCATTATTTTATGTGCCATGCTGCCATTTAAACCAACACCTCATCGATTGTAAGACTTGTCCATACTCGTAAATATTAAAATTTGAGAACCAGTGTGTGTCCTAGAATATTTCATTTATTCGCTTACATGCAGTGCTTGGCACATGGTGGCTCTCAGCAAACTTTGTTTCATTGTGTGTGTTATTCACATCTCTGACCCGAAGCTAGCATGGTGCCTGGCACTGGGCCGGGGTGCAACAAATATTTGTTGAATGATTAAGTCAATGAACAAGTAAATAGATGCCTGAGTAGCATGTCCCAACTCTGCTTGCATTCCATATTTGACATGTAAATAATTGTTTTCCTACAGGTAATAAAAAGGAAAGAAATTTGTCTGCTAAGCGGAAGGACAATGCTGAGGTCTTCATTCCCAGCAAACCGGAGCCAAACCTGACCCCCCAGCCCCCAACTGTGCTCCCAGACCAGGAGAGGCCATGCTCAAGTAAGAAATCGGGGAGGGGCCCCTGAGCAGGGCTGGGCCCGGGCCTGGGTCATCCTCCGTAGGGTGCTGTGATGGAGGAGCTTGCTTAATCACCCCCTCTGCCAAGGTCTGAGCTGACCTTTTGCAAATGTATTTTTAGTCAGGGTCTCCATAGAAACAGAACCAATGGCGGGCGGGGGGAGAGGGATTATACGGAATTGCTCGTGCGGTTATGGAGGCTGGCAATTCAAATCTGCAGGATGGATTGGTAGGCGGGAGGCATAGGAAGAGCCAACGTTCTGGTTCAGAGGCCATCACGCAGGAAGGACCAATGCTGCAGATGAAGTGCAGAGGCAGAATTCCCTGTTATCCAGGGGAGGGTCAGTCTTTTTGTTGTATTCAGGCCTTCAACTCATTGGATGAGGCCCACCCACATTATAGAGGATAATCTGCCTTATTCTACCAATTAAAATGTTAACCTCATGTAAAAACACCCTCCCAGAAACACCCAGAGTAGTGTTTGACCCAACATCTTGGCTCCTCATGGCCCAGCCCAGTGGACACATAACCATCACGTCTACTTTCTTGTTCTATGACCAAGATGTGGCTATAATTGAAAATTTATTTTATTTTTGTTTTTACTTTTCAATTAATTTGTTTACTCATATGGGTGATAATGCATGCAAATGTATTATCTAAATTCTAAAAGTACAAAAGAATTTATGGTAAAGAGTCAGTCTGCTGCTCTTCTAATGAAATGAGGAATTACACTGATGGACTACTATGAGCCAGAGACCATTGCAAGCTCTTAGTTATATTGTATGTAAGTAAATTATAGATGTAATTTATATAAGTAAATTGCAATCCTTATAACGAGTGTTTGAGGTAGGTCCTGCAGTTGTTCCTATTCTGTAGATGAGGGGCTGAGGCACAGGGCACGGAGTCCACACAGCTGGAGAGTGGCAGGTGCAGGCCTCAGTTGCTGGCGGGGTGACTGTACCGCTGCGTCCCTAACCAGTGGTCCTCACACCCCGGAGGCTGTAGACAGATCTTCGAGCCTGTTGCCTTGAGTCGAATCCAGTGGCTGGGGTGGCTGGTTGTGGCGGGGGGGTGGGGGCGCGGGGACATTTGCTTTTGGTTTCTATGACCCAAAGCATCACAAAGAGCTCAAGGCATCCTGGTGTCCCAAGAATTTGGAACCCTGGGGTGCCCTAGGCAAAATCAGGCCCCAGCCAGCCAGCCTTGTCAGGCAGGCCGAGCCAGGGGCCCTGACACATGTGGCCGTAGCATTTCATCCATGTGTGCTAGGGAGCTGGAGGGACTGTTTTCTGCAGGGACAGTCCAAGGGACCTGGTGGTGGGAACCAGCATGTCCCGCATAGTCACAGTCCAGAGACTTGGACCAGTGGACCCTGAGCCTGAGGCCTGAGGCTTGGAGCTCTTCTCCCAGCAGCTCAGGGCAGGTGGAAGAAGGAGGAGTAAATAACAATAGCTACCAGTGACTTGCTGAGCATCTGTTTCATGCTGTGTAAATATTGTCTGGGTTTGGATTCGTCTGGAAGCAGGCTCTGAGATAGAGTTTCAGGAACAAGTAATTTATTTGGGAGATGGTTCTTGGTAGGGACAGGAAAGGGAAGGAGCCGAAACTGGCTTCATCACCAAGCAAGTTCACTGGGCAAGCGGACTTTCACCTGGCTGGGGAGTTCCGGGGCAGTGCCGAGCACAAGCCTCCACATTTGCCACTGCTCCCCACCCTGGGGGTGAGGGAGCTGGGCTCTTTCCCACTCTCCCTTCCCTTGGGCGGTAGGCTGTCCCCAGGGGTGCTGACTCTCCAGCACTCTGGCTCAGTGGGCTCTCTGCCCGCCCTGGGCTCAGCACTCTTCTTTGTGCCCTGCATTCTCAGACAGGCTCATAGGGGTGGTGAGATGGCCACCCGCAGCTCTGGGCGTACAGTCCCCAGCCCAGCAATCCTGGCAGAAGGGCGGCCAGCAGACTGCCGGCTGACCACCTGCTGCAAATCCTGCCCTTCCACCTGCTAGCGCTCTGACCTTGGGTGGATTACTTAGCCTCTCTGGGCCTCATTCTCCCATCTGCCAGACAGGGATAAGAATAACACTCTCCTCTGAGCGTTGCTCTAGGATTAAAGGGAGGGCTGGATAGACAGGCTGCTTAGAGGAGTACCTGGCTTAGAGTGAATGCTCGGTCAGGGTCAGCTGGTACTGTTCTCACAACTGTCAGCAGAGCCTCGGAGCTGCTGCTCATTGCCTGGCTTAGGCCAGGAGAGGTTCTGTGAAGGAGACACTGGTGCTGTCCCCAAAGGCAGAGGGAGTGGGTGACAGGTAGCAGACTTTGAGAACTTCCTTATGGGTATTGTTACCCTGTTCTCTCACCTCACAGTTGAGGAAACTGGGGCTGAGAACATGAAAGTTACTTGCCTAGAGGTGACAGGCAGGACAGCGAGGTCAGATTCACACCCAGGCTTCAAGCCCTGTGCTCTGACTCGCTCTGTTAGGCTGCTCCCCTGGGGCTGGCTGGCCGCAGGTGGCTTTGGAGGTGCGTGGGTATGTGGGTCCTGGCAAGCTTAAGTGTAACTCAAGCAATGGTTTTCTGTTCAATACACGAGCCCTGGGCTGGGGAATCGAGGTAAGGAATCAGGGGCTGGCAGCAAGCATCCAGGCCCTGGTGATCCAGTGAGCAACACAGTGTCCCTGCTCTCATGGTGTTTCTATTTTAGTGGGCAGGGATAGATAACAAACATGAAGGTTGGGTGGTGGCAGTTACTGCCAAGGCAGCAACTGGGTGATGGCTGGGCAGTGTGGGTAGAGGAGGCCTCTCTGAGGAGGGAAGATTTGAGCTGAGAACTGGATGATTTCCAGGACTAGTGCTTTGCACAGGAGAAAGCCTGTGCAAAGGTCCTGAGGTAGAAAGAGCTGCTCAGTCAGCGCTAGCATTGGAAAGAAGGCTGGAGGTTGGAGCACAGGGAGTGAGGGGAAGGTGGCTGAGATGAAGTCACAGAGGTGGGCAGGGGCCAGAGAACAGAGTAAGACCAGCAGAGGGACTCGCTGCCAGGGAGATCTCCGTGGCTTTGCAGGTAGGGCTGCCATGGCCCGGTTTTCATTTTAACAATATCCCTCTGGCTGCCCCATGGAGCGTGGCCTGTTGGGAGATGGCGCGGAAGTGGGGTGACCAAGCAAGAGACCGTTGCAGGATGGAGAGGAGTGTGGCTCAGGCTCAGAGTGTTACCGGTGGCTAGACTAGTTGTGAAATTTTATCCTGAGCAACTTGGGGCAGGAACCTGGGCAGAGGGCCCCCTGCCATGATGGGGCAGGAGAGCCGAGACTTGGCAGTGGTGGGGAGCCCTGGCTTGTCGCTTGGCTGGGGTACGTTCTAAATCTGTGCCACAAGCAAAGGAGACTCAAGCAACTGGAGCTGGGGTCTGGGTCTGAACAAGCTGTGAAGCGCTATTCACACCCAGGCTTCAAGCCCCATGCTCTGACTCGCTCAGACTGCAGGGAGACTGAGGCCTCTGGTCTGTGCGCCGCTTCTGCTGGGAGTGAGCAGGGAACTGGAGGCAAACCGGGCCTGCGGGTAGAGGAGGCTCCTTGCACCTACAAACAGGAAGAGCCAGGATCCAATGGGTAGAGTGAAGACCAAAGCTCCTAGGGACCTCTTGGCAAAAGCCAGAATCTAGAAAGAGGCCCGCATGGGGCCGGAGGATGGCAGAGGTGGGATGGGAATCACTGTTGAAGTGATGTGTGGACAAGGGCGTGTCAAGGTCACAGTAACTGAGGGGTTAAAGAGTTGTTGTATTTGTAAACCCTGATAATGGGGACATTGTCTGTAGGGGTGAAGAGGAAGATGTAACACGTAAGGTGTCAGAAAACTCTAGTGAATTTTGGATCTGTCAGTTTTGGTCAGATGAAGAGCTGGGAAGCTGAGAAGGAGAGAGAGGAGAAGGGGCCATGGGACTACTGTAGGCTCGGGTCAGCTCTCAGAGATCCAGCAGCAGGTGGAGAGTGTGTGGCAATCCTGCGTGACCCGTGGACTGGCTCCACTGACTGCTGCTCAAGACTCCAGTCCATTCTGCTGGCGTTTACTCTATGTGAAAAATAAAAATGGCTTTTCAGAAAGTTCCTCCAAAACAAGCTGTTAAAAAGAAATGAAACCCAGGGTAAGTGTGCCCCTTACCAGAGCCCTTGGTAAGTGGGAGCGGCATGGTGGCCCCCAGCCGTTTCCTCCTTCATCCACCGTCACCAGATTTTTCATACCTGAGTAATAAAATGAAGAGCTGGCATTTATAAAGCGCTGAACCAGTTCCCAGGCTGTGTTCTGTACATGCAAACATAATCTCACATTTAATTACCCAAACAGACTGTTCAGTAGGTGCTGCTATTATCAGCACCATTGTACAGAAGAAACCAAGGCCCAGAGGCAGCCAGTAATTGGTAAAGCCAGTGTTTGAAAACCTGGCTGCGGAGTCTCTGGTTTTAACCTCTCCACTGCATGGCCCTTCACACGCAGCTAAAATGTCAGTTGCTTACTACATACCCCCATCAGCCTAGTCCTAAGCAATAGCGTGTCTAAAAACCACAGGTTTGAGTCATTTATTACATTTTTTCTAATGCCCATTAATATAAATATATAACTTCATATTTTTAAAGTTAAACCACCTGATTTTTAGTTTAGTAAAACTAAAATCATTTTGAATAGTGTATTACTTTCTTAGGGCTGCAGTAGCAGAGGACTGAAATCTGATTGGCTTAAACAGCAGAATTTTATTATTTCAAAGTTCTGGAGGCTAGAAGTCGAAGATCAAGGTGTCATCAGGGCCATGTTCCTTCTGAAGGCCCTCAGGGAGATCTGTTTCTGGGGGTTCTCTCCTCGTTTCGGGCAGTTCCTTGACTTGTGGCAGCATAACTTCAACCTTTGCGTGGCACTGTCCTATGTGTGCATCTGTCTCTGTCCACGCTTCTCCTTTGTATAAGGACACCAGTCCTATTGGATTAGAGCCTGCTGTAAAGA